TAAGCATGCAAAATATTTCGAAAATAGATAAATAATAAAATTAATTAATTAAATTAATTAAATAAATAACACAAAAAAATAAAAATAAAAAAACCTAAAAAAGTCGCTTCGCTCGGCTTGGGAAGTAGCTCAATTATAGGAATAAAAATCGGCTGGAGTGGCTCAAATTTGGCTCGGCTTGGCTCATTAACAACTTAAGGAAGATGAGTTGCAAAACGGGTCACACAATGGGTTAAGTTGCCCATGATAAAAACGTGTGGATCTTAGGGTTTTAATGAGACTTAAACCGATATCGTTTCCAATGGCTATAAAAGCTTGAAATTTTGATTTTTTTCCCAAATCTCCCTCTACACTCTCTCTCTACTTTTTATTTTTCTTGTCACTTCTCTCTCTATAACCAAAAAACTGGTGGTTGGGTTTTGCAAATAACTATTGGAAAGCTTGTCCGTCATCAAAAACTTGTCAGGATCTAGGATTATTCACATTAATGTTGTCGAATCTTGGCTAGGTTCTTGAATGGTCATCAAAAAACTCGTAAAAAAATTCAAGGTGTGCTAGAAAATTCAATCAAAATTTGGATTTTTCTAAAAAATTTTCAAAAAATTTCAAAAATTATTCTTTTGCAAAATTCAATCCTTTAAAGTTATGTCTTTCTTTGAATTAAACCAAAAGCCACTCCCAAAACAAAATTTCACAAGAATTAAAACTCAGGATTTGCTACCCAAACTCTTGCTCTAACTTTTTTCTGTATTTTTTTTTCAATTGTTGTATGTCTAATTATTGTATTTGTCGTGCATTTACAATGTAGGATTAACAGAATTCCTTATCACTTAGGATTTAAATTTTTTTTAAACTTCTATATTATCAAAAGAGATTAATACTTGTCTTGGAGAGTTTAAACTCAAATCCAACCTTATCACCAACCACTTTTCCAATTGATTTTCTACTATTTAATTCTGTTATATTTGAACAGTTATCCCTTAATACTAAACTAATAAGATAATTAAAAGAAAAGGTTAAAGATAATCCACAAACAAATAAATAAAATAACTAAATAAAAAAAGGGGATAAATAAAAGAAAGAATGAATGAATAAATGAATAAATAAATAAGTAGGGTAAATGAGATAAGTATATATATATAATATTAAATAATTAAATAAATAAAACAAATAAAATGAAAATAAAGAAAATTATGGTAATTGGGCTTAAAACGAGTCTTGAGCCCAATAAGATTGGATCCCAAACTAAATACGATATCTATAGATAACAACAAATTATTGTGATTTTAATATATCTAAAAATTACAATTTAAGAAAAAGGATTAAAGAATGAACAAATGGTTACCCATAAATAGAAGACAACGAAAATTGCAATCAGACCTTCATATGAAATGAAAAATTAGCGGTACCATTTTCTACTAATCTGGCACATATTTCATCATAAGTTTGATATGCATCCATAAAAGACATCTATAAATTAAAACAAAACGGGTTAGTTGAATAATCATTTTGTAAATAAAAAAATGTTAGACAATCAAATTATTTCATAATAAAAATAATTGAAAAAATTCAGTCGAGGCTTAATATATTAAAAATGAAACAAACGCAAGAAACAAAACTTACACAAAAACATTCAATAGTCTATAGTACTCTATGTGCTTCAATAAGGTATTTATAATAAGTCCAGAATACATAGTAATAAATACAATTAATGAGGTCAATTAATACTTTTAGAAACAACATTAAAAATTGAATTAATATAATATACCATTTAAATTTTGAATTCAAATATAACAAAAGCATATTATTCATGTTGAAGAATTTCTTTTTCTTATTAGAAATTTTGTATCTTATGTATTTATATAAAATTATCATGATTTTAGATTGATTTGATTTTGTCTTCATATTTAATATTTTCTAAAAATAAAAAAAACTCATAAAAGGTAAACTAACATTTTTTTGGAAGACAATAAATGTAATTAATTAAATTACATCATATGGAAGGAAAATTATTCTCATATTTGTCACAATGTAAAAGAAAGCCAATTCAAAACGTAAAAGGTTTCTCAAAAAAATTAAAAAGTAAGTCAATCAATTAAAAATGTAAAAGAAATAAAATAATTTATTCTATGAAATATTTTAAAATATAAATTAAATCAAAATAATTGAAAGACGCATGGCATTTGTTTAAAATTGTACACATGTTAGAAGAATAAACATCCACATAAAATTATTTTTTTTAGCAAAAGCTTTGTGTGTGTATATATATATATATATATATATATATATGTATGTATGTATGTAAATGATACAAGATGGCTTCAATATTACTAGACAAAAGTATAATAATCCTACCACTAGAAGAAGTGTTCACCATAATTTGGACCGTAATTGTGATGGGCTCTTCAAATAGATAAGAATACATCTTCTAATTTTACAATAATTATGGTGGGTTTGTTGGTTAAAGGTTGTCTTTTTATTTTGTACACTTCTTCCAATCTCTGTTTCTTTTTTGCTTAATTTTTTTGAGAAGTTTTAACCATTTAATGTGGGTTACGTTTATCAAAATCCTCTTTGTAGTATTTTAAAGAAAAAAAAATGAAGACTAAACCATTAATGCTTTTTCGTAAATTGATATTGGGATTTGGGAATTTATTTTTTTATCTTAAAATTTAAAATTTTATAATTAGAAAGATATTTTTTACTTTAGATTTAAACAATATATTATACATATATAAGTCATAGTTTAAAAAATATGATCTAAGGTTCTAAATTCAAATTTTATTGCTTTTGGGTTTAATTGTTTAATTATATTTTAGTTTGTTAGTTACTTATTTAGTGATATAATTTTATGATAATATAATAATTGATCATTCAGCAGATTATATGAATATAATAATTAATTGTAATTTTATTATGATTTAATAATTGATTATTCAGTTACAACTTGATTTTCTCTTACAGTTTTAGATATAAAAAAAAAAAAGTACATAAGACATATGTGTACCAAAAAAAAATTGGAAAAATAAAACAAAAAACAAAACTGTAGGATGAACTGTTCAAGGACCAAAGTTGAAGAGCGGAAACAAAACGAAACCATGGCTGGCAATTGGAATGGCACATTTTAAGAGGCGAAAGGGGAGCCCCACGAACTATTGGTGTCACTGTAAGTCGGAAGATGAGTACATTTTTGGCCCAAACATATGACATTATGATGAATTCAATTAAGAGTAGCTGTTGATATATGGAGAATAGACATCATATCATGGCTCTAGCTAGATCTACCAAATAATATGTCTATGAAAATTAAAAAAAAAAAAGGAGAAAAACAAGACCATATTTTAATTATTAATATTATTAATAATTAAAATAAAATGGCTGTGTGCCTCTTTGTCTCGAAGCTGAATTTTTGGTTGAAATTAAGAACAAGACCTGCATCACAAGCAACAAAGCTTATCGTCAGTTGTGAAGAATAAAAGTGTTATTCCTTCCAAAAAAAAAAAAAGAATAAAGATATTATTGAGAAGATGAAATGGCGCAATTCTACAGGTGTATTACCAGTTGTGACTGGGCAATTTTTTCTTTTTAAACTACGGGTGCCGTTCGGGTTTGCCCTATATTTGTTTGTTGCTTTGAATAAAATTAGTTAGTCTTAGTAGGCCTTTTGGTCAACAATGGGAACTGTGTCTAAACCTCCTTTCCCATTTTTTCTTTTCTTTTGTATATTTTACTGTATTATATACACTTTAGAACGGGATCACCACGACAACCCCCTTCTTCATTTTACCAACCAATTCTCTAGTAATTCCCATCAACCTTTTATGGTATAAAATTGAACCTAGGGTTTTCACAATTATCTGTTTAGGAATGTTTTTGGTTAACTTACAAAAAAGTTGATTAAATTTTTTATTTCCAGACCAAAAAAAAAATAAAATTGTTATTTTAAATATTATTTTTCATTTATTACATTGTTTTGATCAAATTAAAAAAAAAAACTAATGCATAAATTACAAAAGTAATTCTATTTGAACTAGAAAATTTTTTTGTACTATATTTTGACATGAATATAAGAAATGCATATATGTAATTTAAACTAATCTAGTGAGAAAATGAGTAGAGTGAAAATATAAAATAAATAAATCTATTCTTCCTTTTAAGAAATGTCACGAAAAGAAAATTTTGTTATATAAGAAAATGAAAATTCCAATCATTCATCCTCCCAAATTTTTGAAAATATTTTAAAAAATAATGGAATCATTTTATGAAAAAAGAAAAAAGAAAAAAAGAAAAAATGAGTTGTAAATTAGAATGACTTGTTATTGACATTTCGAGAAGTTGGGGTTTAGACCATAATATTCAATTCTATAGGCTACATGTAAAAGTTCTACTTTGGAAAAGGGGAAATAAAAGGGGAAATCATTTCTCAACTTATATCTTATTTGACTTAAACCCCTAATTTCCAAATTGTACATGAAAATGAACCCTAGTTTGTGATTACGGCGGTGAGTCATGACTTCCAATCCTCTCACCTCTCCAATAAAAAGTAAAATATAAATGTAGGATATTATGTGGATAAGAATAAATGTTGTAATTAATAATAAGTTAAAATATTAAAAAAACCTTGAATTATTAAATTTTAAGTAAGATTTTATATTTTTATTGTATTTAAATAAGTTTTATATTTTGATTTATATTTAAATAAATTTTTATTTCCATGGAAAAAATAATTTTTATTCAAATTTTACTTTGATACAAATTAAAAATTTAAGAATTTATCTGGATATCAATTAAAAATTATTTGAATGTAAACTAAAAATTAAAAATTTATTTGAATATAATGAAACTATAAAAATTTTTCAAGTAAAATTTTTAAGATTAAGGGATTTATTATAATAATAATAATAATAATAATAATAATAATAATAATACGGTGGCCTGGAGAGAATGAACTCCACCTGTGATGACTGATGTGATGATTAGGATGTAAAGAAATCCTAACCCTAAGATGGATCAATGGAACGGCGGTCATCTCCAGCTGCGGCTCTCTGTTGTTGGTACTGATTGAGTTGGCCAATCCCCGCAGAAACGTTCGTGGCAGGAAGGCTTGCATCATAGTTACTCCCACCATCAAAGCTCCTTATCATCCGCTGCTGCTGCTGATGATGATCCCGTGGGAAAAACTGGTGGTGGTAATGATGGTCCCGCCCTCCACCAACTTCGCTGCCGAACAGATTAGTTCCCAAGTTTTGATGTGTGGTGGCAGTGGTTGTGGCCGCAGCTGCCGCCGCTGCTATGAGCCCAGCATGGCCGGTGATGCCCAAGCTCTGATACTTGGACAGTTCAGACTTGGCACAGCTCAGATCCATTTGCAGTTGGCGGAGCTGGTGCTGAAGGAGAGATATGACTCCAACGCAGCCGTAGACAGGGTCACGGAGACGCATATCTGCCTCGTATGCTAGTGAATTGACAGCGTCCTCTCGCTGCGATGGGTGCAACTCGTTGAGTAGTTTTGTGATGTTGCTTGCGCCGAATACCTTGTGGACGTTGGCAAACTTTTGGGGCTGATCAGGTGGGAAATAGGGCGCAAAAACGCACTCTGGCTGGCATTTCCGCCTCAAGAACTTACACCCCGCACATGGGGAATTAGATGATGATGCCATATTCCTCCTTTCTCTCTGCAACCACAAGTTTTTACATTATTAATGAGAATTTATGATAACAAACCAGGCTTATTCAAATCTTTACCGTACCATATATTTATATACAGTGCACAGATGAAAAGTGATCTATTTTCAATGTTCAATAGAGAAAGAGAGAAAATTGCGGGCACTTTAGAAAATTACTAAGTGATAATAGATGAATTAGTATTAGTAGAGCGAAACCAAACAAAATCAATAGAGGATGTGTGAAAATGAAGTTTCAAGTGGCGGGGCGGCGCTGCAATGGGCAAAGCTTAAGGCATTGGGAGTTGAAATTTATTTAGAGATGATAGATGTGAAGCACATTGAAGAAAGAGAAGAGATAAACCTACTACCTATCATACACAAGAAATGGAAAGTTGACAGCTTTGTAAATTTATGTATATAAAAACACTTAAAGCCAGAAAGATTACCCTTGCAGTATCTGCCCCTTAATTACTGATTTTAAGGAATTGAAAGCAAATATTCTTCTTGTATTCTATCTTACGATGGCTGCCTAATGAAACTAAAGATATTTATGGAATGAATGGGGAAGAAGTAAACTAAATCTTGACAGAATTTGTTGGCAATAATAATCCCAGACTTGTCTCAAATATTCACTAATGGCTGCAATAAGGAGAGAGAGAGAGAGAGAGAGAGAGACTTGAGTACAGGTGTAGCTTGTAGGGTTTTGGGAAGGAGGGAACAAGGCAGGCTGGGCTGATTTTCCAGGTAGGTTAGTGGGATTGGATCTCGCGAAGAAGACCTTTATTTACTTCGCAACTTTCGATGGAAAGCTTTTGGGGAGCAGATCTTGCTTGAATTTCATAATTAAAAAAAAAAAAAAACTTTACAATATAGTTACTAGCTGCTTCATTTTCATGTAAAGGTGTAAACAATTGAACTCATTCGCATAAAGAAAAGAGGGATAAATATTACTTGAAATTGGAAACAAGATCTTGGGATGAACTGACAACCTGACAATATATACTATATTAAAAACCTTATTTTATATAATAAATAATAATAAAAAAAAGAACAGCTCTTTATTTTTGAATGTTGGAAAGAAAAAAAGAAAAGAAAAGAAAAGATATGGTGGAAAGGAGAGATGAAAAAGATTTAAGGTTAACGTGCAATTTGACAGCTGAATTATATTTTTTTTATGATTTAGTTCATAATGAATAAAAATTTATAATTAGATTCAAATTTTAGTTTTGTCCATTATATTACTCCATTGATTAACACTATTAGTTAAAATGTAAATTGATCAATCAAAAAGTACCATGTCATATTAATTTATTTTCAATTTTTTAAAAATTAATTTTTAAATTAAAACTAAAAAATTTAATTCTGAAAAAATTTAATTTTAAGTATTTGATTTTTTAAATAAAAATAAAAAATAAAAAAATTAAGGCTGACTGGGCTTTTCTAATCACGTGTTAGATTCTATTGACTATAGTTAAGTCACATCAGCTTCAAATTAACGGTGTTAATTAATTGAGTAAAATGATGAATGAAATTAAGTTCAACTTGATTATAAATTTTTATTCATTAGATATCAAATTACATATTAACCGAAGAGGAACGGTGTCTGACTCTGACTAAGGGAGATGTTGGGGCGAAGAATTAACTCTTATGCTTATTCTTTTTGTCTTGGGAGTTTAATAAAATAAAAATAATAAACAGAAAAAGATGATATAGAGGAGAAGTACTGGAACTAGACGTGCGTGGCCTCGATTTCTTCAGTCAAACCTTTTTATTATTATTATTTTTTTGTTTACTGCAGTTGATCGGGTGAGGGGCAAAAAACGAAGGATGAGTGTTGGTGGAACCTCCAAAAAGGCACTCTTTCGTTGTAGTATCTTTTAAAGGCGTTGGGAATATTCAAAGAGTTCATGCAAATTTGACTTGTTTTTGGGCGACATGTTCGCCTGAAAACAAAGGGGCAATGAAAGTGCATATAAAGATGATGATGAGGGCAGCAGTTGCTGATGTATCTTTGTAAAGTAAACGATGAAGCTATAAGGCATAGGAGGAGAGAAAAAAAAGAAAAGAAAAACATAGAGAGAGAGAGAGGGGTTTATATGGAGTGAGATGGGTAGGACTTGAGAGGTGAAATCAGCGAAGGAGAAGAGGGAAGTCCCCCGACAGCAGAGGCTAAGGGGACGCGTAGAAAGCAGAGAGAGAAAAAGGAGGGGTGAGTCAGGCAAATGACTGATTTGGGTGTGAGGGAAGAGGGAAACTCTTTCTTTCTCTCTCTTTATTTCCAATAGCTAGCTGTTTGTCTTTTTTCTTATTATGAATCAGACTTATCAGAGATTTGGGGCATGTTGTGTTGCTATGACATGACCCTTCCTCCTTTTTCTCTGTGCACTGCTTTTTGTACCATCGTCCCCATCCCCCCTCATTTGCTTTCTTTTTGTAGTTTTAATTAGGCTTTCAGGTTGTGCATCTGTCCCCATTGTCTGTTTTACACCCGCCCACCCATCCACTTTTGCTCCAACCTCAGAACACTCCAATCCCCATTGCTCTTATGCTTCCGTTTCTCTTTGGAGTTTGTAATTGTAAACATCAGATTCTGCACACTTTTTTAAACATTAATTCCGACATCAATTTCGCTTAAATCCAAATGATTTGATTCAGCTTCGCTCCTGTTGATTCAACTTCTTACCCCCTTATTGTATTCCAAATCAAGTTCATGTTGTAACCATGATGCTATAATAGCAACTCATATCTTATTATTTATTTTATTAGTATTATTGAAAGAAATTCAAGTCATTTTTTTGGATTTAGATAATTTTTTAGTTTTGGTAATTTTAGATTCTATATATTTTTGTCTCAATCATCTCAAATTCAAATCATTTTGAATTCAAATAATTTGAGTTTAGATCATTTCAATTATAAGTTATTTAGTTTTTAAATTCAAAATAAATTGAATTTTGAATGAATTGTTTAGATAAAATCAAATTTTATTAGCTATAATTAATTTATTTAAAGTAAAATTTTTATCAACTTAAGTTATTTACTTATTTAAAAGTAAAATTTTTTGAGGAATGGCCTACCCAAAATGGTTGGATATATCCTATTTGACTAATAACTACATCTAGTAGTTATACTTTTGGTTTGAACCAAGAAAAAGAAATTACCATGGGCAAGTAATGTGTGTTGGCTTTTAAATTAAAACTATGAATACAAACTGCCACTCTCTCTCACTTCCTTTAATATGGCAACCATCCATAGAAAATAAGAATGATGGCATTCGGCCATTGAATGGAGAAGAAGAAAAAGGTTTGAGGCTTGGTCTCTTCCTCTTTTGATGAGACATGACATTCGGCCATGATCATAAAAGGATCAAAGAGTATTCATCTAAAGCATGAAATAAGTCTCATTCATATGGAATTATGTGGTGAATTACATAGAGAACAAGAGAGGAAAAGAAAGAGATCAACAAAGAAAAGGAAACTCTTGAAGGAATCTCATGCTTCTGTGTTTAAGGAATTTCTTTATGGATAGTGAAGAATTTTCAAATATGTGATCTTATTTTCGACTAGCGAATCAAGTCAATGTCATTTTTGTAACAATGTTTTCACTGTGCTTATGCAAATCAAGTAAATTTTTTGCATTATTTATAGTATATGATCTTATTCATATATTATTACAATATCCTTCATTAGTGTTAAGGCTAGGTTGTTTTGATTCCTGATTGTTTTGATATTTGTCTTGAAACACTGAAATTATTGACATGTTCCTTGAATTTTTACTAGAATGCGTTCGAAATCTATGGAAAAATTATATAAAAGTGTGTAATTTTGTAGTAGAAAGTTACAAATGTTTCGGAACATTCAAAATGCAAGTTGCCATTGTTGTTTGAAATAATTGGATCTAGATTTTGATTTTCAGAATTCAGGCATTAGAATGCTTGATACAGAATTTGAATACCCTCAATAAATTTTTAAAATCAATGGTTATTTTCTGAAATAGAAAATGAGCATTCGAATGCTCCTCAAGGTTTTCAAATACGCCATGTTTTTTTTTTTTTTTGAAACATAAAGCAAGCACTCAAATGCCCTCTTCAGAGCATTCGAATGCCTTTATTTTTTTTTCAAAAATATGTTTCGTTTTTAGAATTTTTTTGAAAAAATTATTTTATCCTTGAGTAACTTTGGAGGTCAGATCATATAAGAATGATTGAGATAAGTTTTAATCATTTTTAACTTGTGTTGACTTGCAAATTCATGAATTTTTCTTGTATTTTGTTATAAAAGATTATGACTATTTTTATGATAACTCTCATTGTTATAAAGATTTAAGCGCAATTACTTATAGCCAGGTTGCTAATTGAATAAGCGCAACACTAAATGGATGTAAATGAAGATGATATTATGTGTCATATCATTAAAGGTTAGCAACAAGATTAAAGAGTTAATATTATGAGGCAACATGCATGTAAGAAAAATCTAAACATATACATTATGTTGAATAGATACACTTCTTGCACTTAAATAAAATAATATTTTCAAAGATCTTTAGATGTCTAACATGAAGAAATGTCCTAATGTTACAACTTTGATAAAAAATTTATGATTTTGTGAGAAATGAAGTAAGGAAGAATGCAACATTCTTTATCGGCCCAGTCTCCATAGTGGAACAAATGTACAAAATTCTTGGATCTCTATGGATGGCTAATAAGAATGTAAAACTACTATAGGAACTTATGGATTCCATTCTAGTCACTAGATAAGTAATATATACTGATTGAGAATATAAGTTTAATAAACAATATGTATGTTTAATGATAAAACTTGTTTATGTGTTTAGTATTACATAATTTGTGAAGCTTGTCTAAGTGAGTGTAATTAATATATGTTATTAATCATAAGAAACCTTATGGTTAGTGGGATTTCTAAGATATTAATTAATGAGTTACCTTAGAATGATAAATTTTGTATAATAAAATAAAATAAAATAAATGATAATCAAACACATTAAAA